ACTGGTTTCTATTGTTTTTTTTTATTGTTTAACATGTTTTGGTTACATTTTTTTTTTGGTATTTTCATTTTTTTACTATTTAATTTAGTTTAAATATATAAACTAAAACAATACCAATCTCTCTGACTCTATTCTACTTACAGTTTTTTAATTTTTTTTTCTTATTTTGATTTGATTTTGTTTGATCAAAAATAAGGCAATCTTCTCCCAGCCTTTTTTGAATTCTTAAATTTTCTTATTTGAAAAAAAAACGTCTAAGGGAATCTACAATCCTATCTTCTCCTAGCCTTTTTTGAATTTTCAAATTTGTTTATTTGAGAAAGAAATCGTTTAAGAGATTCATATAAAACCATAGTCTTTACAAAAAAATATTTTATTTGAACAAAAAAACAAATAAGGGAATCCATAATCCTATCTTCTCACAGCATTTTTTGAATTTTAAAATTTTCTTAGGTAAAAAAAATCGTGTAAGGGAATCCATAATCCTATCTTCACCCATCATTTTTTGAATTTTAAAATTTTCTTATTTGAAAAAAAAACGTTGAAGGGAATCCATAATCCTATCTTCTCCTAGCCTTTTTTGAATTTTCAAATTTGCTTATTTGAGAACAAAAATCGTTTAAGCGATTCATATAAAATCCCAGTTTTTTTCAAAGTTCTTATTTGAAAAAAACATCAAATAAGGGCATACTAAGGGAATCCATAATCCTATCTTCTCCTAGCCTTTTTTGAAGTTTCAAATTTGCTTATTTGAGAAAAAATCGTTTAAGAGATTCCTTTAAAAAAAAAAAAACTGTTTTTTTTTTAATTTTCAATTTCTTATTTGAAAAAAATCAAATAAGGGAATCCATAACCCTATCTTCTCCCAGCCTTTTTTGAATTTTAAAATTTTCTTATTTGAAAAAAAAATCGTTTAAGGGAATCCATAATGCTATCTTTTCCCAGCCTTTTTTGAAGTTTAAAATTTTCCCAGCCTTCTATGACAATGACAATGATTTGACTTTTGAATCTTGGATGGGTTGGTTTGAGCTAAGTATGTGGTAAGTATATATGTAGTAAAAAAAATTGAATTACCTGGTTACAAGTTATAGTTATATGTAACATGTATGATAACTGAGGTGACTCAAACTTGCATTACCTTGTGGTTTATCTTTTTTGTTCCATCTGTGAGCCATGAATCCATGAGAATGGCATGGTTTCTCTTTGGTCCAAAATGCAGAGTTTGGTGCCTATTTGGGGGAGCCCAATCCATAAAACACAAGCCACCAGTTAAAACGCAAGACCTGTGCAAATTCTCACACTTCGAGGCGTAGAGGTAGCAAATTGGAAACCAGTTGGGGAGTTTGGGGTGGGAAATTGGAGAGACTAACAAATGTGTCATATGTGTATATATATATATGTGTGTGTGTGTGTTTAATTTTTCATCTATCGGTTGCCTGCTCATAAATGTAAGTTTCTCAAACCTAGCAATTGCGGGCAAAACAAGTGTAAATTTGAATCGCAGTTATGCAGCCAAATCTTGTGGACCCACGGCCCACATTCGAGGACCCAAACATATTTCACCACATGGGAAAATCAGATTTGTGCATCAACATCTGCCGCAGCAAGCCCACCGCCATTTTCCAGCCCCAACCCCGTGAAATATTCAAATTTGCCGCCGACACTGCATGCAGCAAACCAACTTTAAACTCTGCCACCCGGACTTCAGCAAGTGGTTTTAAAGTGAATTGGCCTGGCCACCCACACTGCAGCAGGCCGGTTTGCAGCAAACTAATTTTTTGAAACGGACCATTCATCATTCATACTGCAACAAGCCAACTTGAAAATGCGCTTTCCAGACTGGAGCAAGCGCGCCTCACCAATGTGCCAGCCATACTATAGCAAAATGGTTTCTACATCAACCACACTGTAGCAATCCAAGTTTAAAGTGCGCCACCCACACTATAGCAACCCCAACCCTCAGTTCTCCAATTTGCCGGCAATGTCGGGTGGGTGATTTTCTATGTTGTTCCAGTGCGGATGCAGTTTTTGTTGAATGTCCCGAAACAACACAAACCTCTTTTAGGAACAAGGCGTTTTGCTGCCCAGTAGCTTGTGTTGCCTAAACAGTTGGTGGCCGGCCGGTTAGGGTACAGGATGAAATTTGGCATGATACACATTGCTTTTACATATGCTGTACCTTGACCAACGGAAAAAAATTGCAATCACAAATCCCATGTTTCAGTGACAAACACGATAAAAACATTTCATATGTTCCGTTTCTATGATGGTGCTGAGCCGTGATGATTTTGATTTTATATAGCAATATTTTGCAAGGTTTGTTTGGCTGGCACCAGACTGGCGATGTTGCCGAACGCCGTGCACCCAGATACACATATGATACCTATGTTTTAGACATTCTCAGACAATCCCATGACATGTACAATACTTTTTTGGCGTCCTCAAATGCTGTGAAAAAGTGTTCAAAAATACCACTTAGGACACCTCATTGCTGTTTCATTTTTTGGTGGAAGGCTTTAGCGCTACCTACGCAATCCCAGTAAAAATGTCGTTCAGAAATAAAATCCACATGTCCCTACATGAGGGTTCTGGGATTGGACATTTTCTAGTTGGACACCAGTTTAAATTGACGGATAATAGTTTACCAACCCCAATCCATTTTTCACCCCACCCAAGGGTCATCATAATCAGCTAAAAAGATAAATTATGCCGGCATAGACGCCAGATGGCCAGGCAAAGTGGTTGCGGCGACAGCAGAACTGCTGGTTCCCAAACGTTGGAACCAACGCGTCCCAATCTCATAAACACGGGTTCCCCATTCGAGGATCTGCTAGTTCCCCAGCGTTCGAACCAATGCTTCCCAATCTTGGAACTGCAGGTTCCCAGTTCAAGGAACTGAACCAATGCTTCACAATCTTGGAACCACGGGCCCCCAGCTCGAGGAACTCATGGTTCCCACATGTTGGAACCAATGCCTCCCCATCTTGGAACCACGAGTTTCCAACTCGAGGAGCTGATGGTTCCCACGTGTTGGAACCAACGCCTCCCAATTTTGGAACCACACGTTCCGAGTTCGAGAAACTAGCGGTTCCTAAACGCTGGAATCAATGCGTCCCAATCTTGGACCCAAGGGTTCCCAGTTCTAGGAACTAGCTAGCGGCAGCTCCCAAACCCTCGAACAACTCCTTCCCAATCTTGGAACCACCAGTTCCCAATTCTAGGAACTACCGGTATTGAAACGTTGGAACCCATGGTTTCCAATCTTGGAACCACGGGTTCCCAGTTTCAAGAACTGCTGGTTCCCAAACCTTGGAACCAAAGCGTCCCAATTTTTTTGGAACCACGGGTTCCCCATTCGAGGAACTGCTAGTTCCCCAACGCTCGAACCAATGCTTCCCAGTCTTGGAACCGCAGGTTCCCAGTTCAAGGAACTGAACCTTCAAAATCTTGGAACCACGGGCCCCCAGCTCGAGGAATTGATGGTTCCCACATGTTGGAACCAATGCCTCCCCATCTTGGAACCACGAGTTTCCAGCTCGAGGAGCTGATGGTTCCCACATGTTGGAACCAATGCCTCCCAATCTTGGAACAACACGTACCGAGTTCGAAAAACTAGCGGCTGCGGTTCTTCAACGTTGGAACCAATGCTTCCCAATCTTGGAACCAAGGGTTCCCAGTTCTAGGAATTAGCGGCTCCCATACTTTTGAAGCGTTGGAACCCATGGTTTCCAATCTTGGAACCACGGGTTCCCAGTTTGAAGAACTGCTGCTTCCCAAACCTTGGGACCAATCCTTCCCAATCTTGAAACCACGGGTTCCCAGTTTGAAGGACTGCTGGTTCCCAAACCTTGGAACCAATGCTTCCCAATCTTGGAACCTCGGGTGTCTAGTTTGAGGAACTGCTGGTTCCCAAACCTCGGACCAATGCGTTCCAATCTTTTTGGAACCACGGGTTCCCCATTCGAGGAACTGCTAGTTCCCCAGCGTTCGAACCAATGTTTCCCAATCTTGGAACTGCAGGTTCCCAGTTCAAGGAACAGAACCCATGCTTCCCAATCCACGGGCTCCCAGCTCGAGGAACTGATGGTTCCCACATGTTGGAACCAATGCCTCCCAATTTTGGAACCACGGGTTCGGACTTCGCTTCCCAATCTTGGAACCCTGGGTTCCCAATTCTTAAAACTAGAGGTTCCCAAACTTGGGAACCAATGCTTCCCAATCTTTGAACTCGGGATTCCCAGTTCTAGGAACTAGCGGTTCCCAAACCTGGGAACCAATGCTACCCTTTGAGAAGTAAGAACCCCTATAGTTCCAGCTATCGATTCTCACCACCTCAAAATGTAAAATTGCCAGTACTTTTATAGGTGCCGTAAAATTTTGTGAAAAGGGATTCAAAAAGACCAATTGGGGCACCTCATTTTTGATTCAACTTTTCGCGGAAGGCTTGAGCACTACCTGCGCAATCCTTGAAACACTTGAAGAAACACGTAAAGAAATATGTACCCCGACCATATGTTTAGTCTAGCACTGTGTCCTTAATATTCTTTAGTGTGATTGATGGATGCAAGATAAAAATTGATATATAACAACACTTTTAACTCCATTAGTCATTTTTCAACTTGAATTCCAGAGCACAGATGTTGTAAACAATTTACCCAAAACACATCCATAACACATACATGGAAGCATGTAGTCACCTTTCAAAAACACACTCAAAAATATTCAAAACCTATTCAAGCCGTATTCAAAATTCAAAACATATCCAAACACATATTCAAAACATTCAAATCAAAAAATGCCAGCCCCCCCCTGTACAACCCCTTCCTCTGGGGGAGGGGAGTTGGTGACGGGGGAGGGTTTGGGATTTATGACCGAACCACATAAAGCATATATCATATTGATTTCTCAAGATTCTTTCACTTTCCGTGCGCAAAAGGTTGTCACCTTGCTGCCATGCAACGTCCCGCCTTGCGGACGTGTTTAATTAAAGGGACAAAAGCCTACCACTGAAAATCCGGTAGCCATGGGGCCTCTGCACGTATGGCAGTGCAAGCTGTCAATGCGGCTTTGAGCCATGACTCGGTTTCAGGATGTGCCAGAGGTGCATCAGTCAGCTTGTTGCGGCGCAAAGCTGATGAGAAACACTCTGCTACAGCACCGGCTAGCGCTGCCGAAAAGGCAGGCGGGCACTCTTTGAGCACAGCCGTGCGCAAAACACCTGTCTGCTGATCTCGTCCAATGGCAACATATTGAGGTTTGACAGCATCTGGAAGCTGTCTTCGATAGGCTGATTGCACGAAGGTAGGGCAGTTGATAGCTAAGATCCCTGTGGGCTTGGATGAACTTGCTCCCCACCTCCATTGCCAGACTCGATGTAATTGGACGTTGGGCAATTGTAAAAGCAACTGCACCCACGGTGATGTCCAGATACTCACCTTGCCTCATCTTCAGGTTTCCAAGGGTGTTCGCTAAGGTACACCCCGCCAAATTGAAGGGCCCATGCCGCAACAATGACACCCTGCATGAAGAACTCAGCTCCTTGTGCTGCCTGCCGTAGTTCTCTGGCCGTCAGGCCTTCCAGTCCAAAGAGCCGCACGGCACTTCGTAATGGACGAGGCCATCTTGCTGGGTTTCCTTCAGGTGAAGGCTCCGGCTGATGATGGCGGGCAGCTGAGAAGGTTTTGCAGGGGGGCCCGCATATGGTAGCGGACACCTTGCCTGCCTTGTACAACTCGGAGAGAAATCGCCAAGTATCATGCCCCACCTGCAAATTACCGTGGAAAATGGAAACAGCGGTATCCATAGACAAAACTTGAATACGGAAACTTCGCTCATGGGCAAACTCCTCCAGTTTTGCATGGATGTGTGTGATGCGTCTCCTTCCGCTCGACAGATGGACGACGAGAAAGGCCGGCAATTGTGTGCATTGAGGTATGCTGGTGCAATCAGGTAGCTTGTCCAACCAATCTGTTTGTTGTGCAAAAAGTGAAGGGATACGTTGGGCAGTTTGGTTTCGTTCCTTGGCGTTGGCAGTGCCTAGCCTTGGCGATCGATGAGGAAAATTGGTGCATTGTTCTTGCTCTAACCAATCTTCTGTCATAAAAATGCGGCTTCGGAAAGGGCTTGCATCCTGGGAAAATCAAAAATGAAATTTGCAAATGCATTGTCCACCAATGTCTCGGCCTCGCCATCCACAAAGTTGGCAACGATGTCTTCCAGACATCTTTCTCCCCATTCAATGTGAACACGCTCCAACCACTTAGGATATGCTGGATCGGCTGTAGCAGCAACGTCCAGCCATTCATCAGGTAAGTAGGCGATGATTGATGAATCAAAGCCTGCATCTTGGAAACGTTGAAACCATCCTTCCGTGATCGCTGTAAGCTTCCGCCAGTAGGCAGCTTTCTGTGCTTCAGCGTCCTTTGGGATGGAAATGTCAAAAATGATTGTTTCGATTTGCTCGAGCTGCTGTCGAGTCAGCAGCAAGTCATTGCTACGACTGTCTTTGGGTAGCATGCGTGGGCCTAAAGCTTGTAGGGCTTCAGTTCCATGGAGTCCTCTGGGTTGTGCATTGGGAGTCGGTGTGATATCATCCGGCACCTTGAAGCCCCGTTTCTGGAGGTCCTGGAAACAGCAATTCCTTGGAATATATGAAAGATGCTGGTACAACCTCTGGCGGCTCCAGAAGAACTTCAGGCATGAAGGACATGTTGGCCCTCAATGAGATGTCTCTCCATAGCACCGATCTGGTGTTTTTGACGTGAATGTGCTGCAAGCCCTTGGGCCGTGGTGAAGGAGCGGCCACAAAAGCAGGTGTACTCAACGTACATCTGGTCAGCGTCATATTTCAGGCCCCCCAGAAACGACGAGCAGCTCTGCAGGATGGTAAAGAATTGCTTATCCAACCTATGCATCTGTTGCGTGATTTTCTCTTGTCTCTGAAATCTCCGATATAAGCACGTTTTACTCTCTGCTGCCACTCTGGTGATCCACTTTGCCAAAAATCAAAGAGGGCGGTCAAATCGGTCAGGTCAATGGGTAATTGGGCATCCTGCTCCGTCATCCGGAGCCACTGAAGATTTGCAAGGAGACCTTCCGTCCAGGAGCCCGTGCATAACGCCTGTTCCCTGTGGATGAGGTGTTGAAGGTCCTCCGGTCCGTGCTCCCAAAGCCTCTGTGCGTACAGGAGCCTGTCAACGGCTAAACGGACCCTAGGGTCCGGTTGTTTGGCACGTCGAAACACCTCAGATGCAGGAGTCGTCAGGTTGGAGAGTCTCATGACCTTCTGCGGCATCCGCAATAAGACAACTTTAAGTTTGGCCATCTGTCTATGTGTCGGCGTAGTCCATCCGCCGAGCCCAAAGAAAAGTTTCGTCCCAATCAGCGTATGGAAAAGCTGAATACGGGTGCATTCTGGAAGGTGGCGATTGCTCAAGATGGGTTTGGCAACTTGATTAAACGCAGCTTGGGCTTGTCAAATGCGGCTACGGATTTCAAGGTCTATCCGATGGTTTGCTGCGAAAATCGTACCCAAGTGTTATGTTCACCAGTTAGCCAGAATCCTATAAACTTGAAAATCAATTTATTTGTGAAAAAAAGTAAAACAAAAAAGCAACCAAAAAAAAACAAATCAAAATGCAAAAAAACAAAAAAAAACAAAAAAAAAATGAAAAACAGAAAAAAAGAATTAGATTAGATTTACAATATGTAAAGTTCTACTACAATTACTATAGTTATAATTGCAATCTCTTCAGAATAAGTAGACAATCACAATTATAATAAGTAGACGGCCAGTGCAGGAAAACATTCTGGCCAGCAATCTGCACAGTGTCACCTGGGCGTGGTCCCAATTGGAAACGCTGCCGGAGCAGCGGTGCTCCGGTCCCTCGAAAGGAGACCACTGCACTTGTGTTGCCTTTCTCTAAATTGAGCAAAAATCCATAACGTTGAAAAAGTTGCATCACAAACGTCAGCACAGATCGGAGCGCTCCGGGCATGTCTGCAGCATTACGGGTGGCCCACGGAATGGTGTCAAATCACCCGCCCATGCCACAAAACTTCCTGGGATATGAATCAAGCTCTCTGCATGGCATTGAAGGCATCCTGTGAATCAATCCATGTTTGCAAGTGATGCAGGATGTCAGACATCAACACATGGAAAATGCAATCAGCAAGTGGGCTGCCTGGTCGGGTGCCTCGTTTTGTGGTAGCCATATTCTGTGCTACCGTCATCCATGTGTTAGCGTGGACATCCTTGATCAGTTGGATCAGGAAAGCTGGGGCCCCAGGCAAGGTAAGTGCAGGCGGGCACACATGTCTGCAATGGGCAGGGCTTCCTGGTCCATAGCCGCTAGCACTTCTTCCAAATCCTCATCCACATGGATGCCAGATGTCCATTCTCGGACTAGTCCATGGAATGCCGTCGTCAAATCTAGGGAAAGGATGCCTGTTGTGATGTTTTGTCCATCCATTATACGGCCAAACACTTGTAAGGATTGGGATCCATACATCACCTGTTGATGGGCAAACCCTCCTAGCTGGCCGGGTGGCCTTTGGCGATGAAGCAAATCCATGATCTGGGTCCGCAGCAATGCGTGTACCCGCTTGGTGAAGGTTGGAAGAAGCATGATGCCTCGATAGTTCTGCGCTGCAAATAGGCTCCCTTTTTTGTGAATGACGGCGAGTTGGCCCCCCTTGCCTGCTATAGGTTTGTGCTGCCAAACATACATTTTGAGCATGGGTGGAAGGAACATCTCAGCCAATTCACATGGATATTGCCGAAACAACAACGATGGCAGGACGTCATACCCTGTCGCCTTGCCTGCTGGCGTTTGCCTGAGGACATCCTCCAGCTGTCTGATCGATGGCAAGTCAACAATATCAAAAGTTCTTTGCTGGATTGCGGTCTGCGATTGTCTAGAGTGACAGTCAGCCAGCAGTTTGCTGGGCGTGGTGACCTTCCCTACTTCAAGCTGACAAAAATGCGGCATCCATTGATCCTCAAGGGCATCGATTTTCAGAGGGGCATACCCGATTCGCCGTTGTCGGAATCGCGGCAAATTTCTTCGAAGCACTTGCCAGAACTGACGAGCGTGTTGTGGCTCAACCATTGATAACTTTCTTGGGCTAGAGACGCGTAGAATCGTGCATCATCATGTCGCAAGGCTTGCGTCACCTGTCTCCCATGGCTTCGAAACTGGTGAAGTGCAGTGGCAATATCCACATCAAGCTTTTTCAGGATTATGTCAAATTCAATCCTACAACTCAATGAATCGTCCACCACTGCCGTCTTGAAGCATGTTTGTCTCCATGTCAACAGGAAGGCTTGCAACAAGGTCTTACGTTGCAGCTGCTGGCAGGCAGCCAGATTTCGTCTCCATCTGCGCTTTGTGCGGACCAACGTCCATGTGTCTTCAGACATCGTCTGCTTGCGTGGTGGTCGTGTAAAGCTGTGGCTGGCGTGTCTAGTACATGTGGCTAAATCCTGTTGCAAGGAATGGTAATGGGTGTGCACATCAAGACCCATCCATGGACTAGATACCCATGTGTGTTTCAGGCTGGAAAGAGCCTGCGTACAGAGTTGCGCAGGGCACTTCTGCGGGCGTCTAGATGGTCTCGAGGATCTGGCCTCCGCATGCCACTCAAGCGAGACTCTGGCAGGTCTGCAGTCTCCTTGTGGAGGGTGATATCCATGTCTATGCCAACCCATGACTGGCAGTTCAACAGCGGCCAACAAGTACTCACTCCAATCACATGATTCCTTGTCCATTCGCCATTTGGATGACGCCACGTCCCTGACGGGCCAGAATGGCAAGATGCAAAGGAAGCAGGAATAAGCAGATATTGGGAGACAACAAAGTGGCAGAACGCTTCACTCTTGAGTTTTGAGGTCTCAGCATCATGATCGCCAATATGTTGATTAGGGCAATCTCCGAAGCGACAATTGGCATCTGCAAGCAGCAGTTTCGGCCAGTCATCAAACCTATGGGGTATGGCAGAGGCCACGGAATGCCAAAAAGCTTCAATGATATCTGGTTCAGCCCCACTATAGACTGCACTTTGATGATCAGAAACCGTGGGTCAGCGGCCACAACAGACAGCACCTGCTCTCCGAGCTACCCACTTTGGTGGGGTGTTCCATCTTGTTGGAAGGCAATGGGCTGTTTTTTTCGCAAATCCCAGCATCATACCAAACTGACCTCGGCTGTTGGCCGGAGAGTGCCACAAGTGGTACTCCGGATGCTGCAAGCGCAAGGGAGTTCTCAACCTGGTCTCTTGCAATGCGAAAATGGTGACATTCTCATGGTGGAATTGTCGCACAATGGATTGCAACCTAGCAGGGCCCAGTGTGGCATGCTCAACACTGTCACTGCTTCCCATAAGAGTCAACACATTACAGGTGAAAATATTCAACCTGACAACTGCATGGTCCTTAGCGGGTACTTGTCCATCAACCTGAAATGGTCCTACCGCAGCAGGGTCAGGCGAGGTGTGAGGCTTTGTTGGAAAAAGCAGCACATCATTTGACCATGAGTCTCCGAAAGTGGGGTGTTGAAATGCCCATCCCCATGCCAGTGCCTGTACAAATGTGCGATTGGTCAACATAGCAAACAAGGAACTCCAATCTTGAAGCGGATGTCCTTGGGCAGCACACAAAGCAAGGGCATCAGCGATGTGGGTCGCCACTGACTGTGGCCAGGCAGAAAGACATGTTTGCATCGGATATGCCATCTGGAATGCATGATACGCAAAATGCGACGGACAGCATGACAAGCAATCTTGTCCTTCTTGGCTTGCCAAAGTCCTTCAGCTTGTCTCCCCACTGATAAGGATCCAAAATGAAATGAGATACTGGGCCTACATCCAAACACCTCAACGGCAATCTTAACAAGGTCATAAGCCTGTTTGGTGGCAATCATTGCAGCCCGCATTTCAGCAGTGTAAGAGCCAAATTCAGGTGATGGGATGGAAGCTGAGACAGCACCAGCAAATTGCCAATGACCACTGTGGTAAACAAATGCCACAGCTGCTGCACCCGCTGTTCCTTCTTGCCTAAGAAACGATCCATCATAATACACTGAAATATGTTCAATGGAACGATCCCAAGTGAACCAGTCTGTTCTCAGCCAAGGAAGGCATTGCGGAAGCCAATGGGCCTTCCCACTCAAGGCATTCTCGACATCATATGTCGGCAATGTAAAGTGCGTATCCAGTCGATCTAGGGCCTTGCTGGCAGCTTCAAAATTGATTTTCAAACAGCCCTCCTCAGTGGCAGCTGGTGTCTGCATAGGCAATTACAAAAAGGGGGACTCTTCGACATCCAAGGGTTCTGTGGAGTACTCTGATGGAGTCACTGCAATTACAAGGGTCAAACTATAGCCAGCAAGCCGCATCACATCCTACCGCCTGGAGTACATGTTCGAATGTCACTCTCTCAGGTGTGGTGATAGCAACTCGCATTATTTGTGGTCCAACATCAGTGTCAAAATTGAAACAAGCGAAGTAGCCCAGTCATCATTGGGTGCCTGGGTGATGATCACATGTGCGGCAACCCCTGGTGGAGTTGGTGAAACCACAGCAATTTCAACTGCAAGGTCATTTTGCAGGAATCATTCCAGGCTTGCTTAATCCGATGTTCCCAGTCAGAAAAATCTTCATACAGGGTCACAGGCCGTGGAAAACGACAAGTCGGAAAATGAAATCGGTGATCAACAAACCACACTAGCACCTGCGTCGATGCCATCTCATATTCCCATGCGAATGCATGCTGAGCAAATTCCGCATGCAATGTCTGGATGTACTCGGGGTACAGCCATAAATTTGGTCTTTCTGGTTGAAATATTTGCGCATAAGGATTGAGTGGGCATGCATTTGCAGGCTGCGCTGGGGCATCAGCGTGGGACGAATAAGAAGAAAACTGCATAAGGGACAAGTCCTCAAAATGCAAGTGCCTGGTCGGATCCTCTGGCGGTGTAGAATCAGGTGCAGGTTCCACACGGACATTGAGGCACATTCCTGAGCGCACAGGCATCAGTTCATTGTCTTCCAATACCCTACCTTCGCTGATCAGCATGCAGTGCCTATTTGCACAAAAAAAGGCAAGCTCCATGATATTGATAACAACAGGCAAACTGAGCTGGGCAGGGACGGAAAAGGCGCCCAGGATAATGCATCTCGAGTGAACCCCTCAAGCAGAGCTGTCATGCATAATCACCGCAACATGTTGTTCATGACGACCTTGTTCCAAGAGAATGCGGCAAGCACTGGGCTCTGTGCAGAATTGAGGTGGACGTGGTTGCACAATCCGGATGGCAAAAGGTCGTCTTTGATTCATCAACCCATGCCGTTCTCAAATCATCAATCCATGTAACAGGATGACCATGTAGTTGCACATACCGTGGTCTCCTACATGAGGTACGTGGATTGTGATGAATAAACCATGTGGTAACTGGCATGGTAAGTTCGTCATTCCAAACATCACGGACCCCTTGCATCTGGAAGAGTTGACCAGTACTGGAATCCAGTCTTCACCCCCATCATGCCACGGCAATCTGCGTCGTGGTAAGTCCGAACCAGGAAAAGTCATAGGGAGCTCCCTACCATCATCAACGTCACCTGGTTTGCAAGTCAAAGGGCTTGGCCCTCGACTTTGGGCAGTTGGGCTCTTTGGCGTTTGCTGCAGAAATACGATATTATCATCTTCAACTTCAGGTTCATGTGCATCCATGGCAGCTGCCATGGCGGGAGCCCAAAGCTGCAAATGGTTGACATTGGTGGGCAAAATGTCATTGGCTAGTGCCGGTGGCACATGCACAACCAAGCCAAACCCTGACTCAATGTCTTCAAGGTCACCTGTTCGTAGTGCCACACCTCTGTAGGTCACTGCACATCTTCGTAACACACACGAATCTTGGAGATGCATTACGCGCAGGATCATTGCCTGGGACACCATTCGACCTACAGAAACTGCAACATGCCTGTGGAAGCATGACGTCTA